ATTAAATTATTTAACAACGATGGAGCTTCTGCTTCTGGTATTTCTGCTTGTGGAGGAATTGCGAGAAATAGTGATGGAGGATTTATGAAAGCTTTTGATGTTGGTCTGGGTATGTTTAATTCCTTCATTTCTGAACTCTCTAGTGCAATGGTTGCAATTGAGTCCGCCCATGAAAAAAATTGACATAACCTTTGGTTGGAGTTTGATTAATTGCGGTGGTCAAGGCGTTTAAGTCTCCTTTATTTGGTGCCTTGGCACATTAAAAATAGATGGATAAATTGTATGAACATAGTCACTAATGGGAATTTCGCAGCCTCTCATATTTTTAAGGAAGGAAACAATCGTGTAGATACACTTGCTAACATTGATCTTAATCTCACTAATTCTTCTTATTTGATTTCATACATGCTTGTTTGAGAGCAAATTTTGTAAAGAATAAATTAGAGTTGTCATTCTTTAGATTTGTTTTCTCTTAATAGGGTTTTACCCGGTATCTCCTATCTTTTTGTAACAATTTTCTTTTTATATATTTCATCCTCATTTAAAGAAAAAATACTAATAATATTAAGCACTAAAAACTTAAATTTTAACTAACAATGATATAAAAATTTGCAATTTCATTAAACAAATTCAAATAATAATCCCCGTCAATTTTCTTACATTCAATCTCAAATCAAATTCAAATGACTAATATCTTTCAATCATTTTAATTTGGATCAATTTATTAAAAAAATGTGAGAAATAATCTAAAAAAAAGAAAAATATGTAAGAAATATAATACACTTAATATGTTTTTGATATAAAATAAATAGAAAAGAGAAGAATGTTGATTTTTTTAAAGTGCAAGAGTGAATCCAAAAATCAAAAAACTCTTAAAAGATTAATTTAATTTAATTTTTAAACTTAAATCCTTACGAAATTTTATTTTCTAGAAAAATATTCTTTAATTATATTTTTGAATTATTAATTTTCTAGCATTATCCTTTTAATTATGATTATTTTAAATAATTTTATTCTGTCTTCCTTAAAACGTTCTAATTTTCAACACTGCACCATTTCAATTCATTTCACCTCATCCTTTAACATCAATAGCAACTTTAATTATTTGTAACGCATATGATAATTATTTATTCGTCATTACTTGAAAGTTAAATTTAACTAAGGATACTCTTTAAGAATATCAAATAAAAAAAAATCTTTATAAAAATCATGTATTCTAATTTTCAATGCATTGATTACATATTTTTCTAAAAACTATTACTACTTAAATTGTGTAAAGAGCACTCCAAAAGCATTAGTTAGCATTTCCCTTTAAATAATAATGTTAGATTTTTTCTTTCAAAATATAATTATCTAAGTGCCGCCACCACTGTTTATATACATGCGGTAAAATAATAATGTTAACACGCGGTATATATAAACTAGAAATTTCCTATATACATGCGGTAAAATAATATTAACACGATATACATGCCACTTATCTTTCAAAATAATAATGTTAGTTTTTAAAAAAAAAATATAATTAGTATCCTACTTGCTTAAAAGTGCCTTATTGAAGGCCTCACAATCTTTTACTCCCAATCTACTCTCCTGCTTAAATTTACAAATGGTTTTCCACGAAACCCACTTAACTCATTTCTTATGTTCTTCTCAACAGTACGAAAAAGCTCGTTGGATCTTGGTGATATCATGGATAATTACTTTTGGCGCTTTGTAGAAGAATAGCAAGAAGATAGGGATGTCATTTAACACAAAGTTTAGAAGGGTGACACATCCTCCCCAATATAAGAATTTGCCTTTCCAAACTGTAAGTCTGATGCGGAGTTTCTATAAAATAGGTTCCCATGAGGTCCTCTTGAAAGGATTAATCCCAATGGGAAGGTCAAGGAAAATAAAAGGGAATATAGTGATTGAGCATGAAAGAAAATCATATGCAGCCACCAAAAAATAGAGATCTAAATTGAACCCCGTGATTTTGCTCTTGTGGAAGTTAACTCGAAGTCCAAATGCTAATTCGAACCCATATAACTTGGCCCAGAATGAAGGTGTCATCCTAAAAATTATAATATATAAAATTTTAGGTTATCGTGCATCTTAAAAGGTTTAAATCCCATTCTAGAACTTACATTTTTATAACAAACCTGTAATTCCTTCAGCACCAAGGATGGAGAGGAATGGAGAAAAGGTTTGCCTTTTCAAAGACCTTATTCTGCTTGAAAGTCTAGTGTTGAGCTTCCGTTAATCAAGATTGAAAATGAACTAGAGCACATGCAAGCCTGAATCCAATTGATCCAAATCCTACCACCATTCTTTCTTTTGAGCACATAGAATGATAGAGAGTGGATTATGAGTTAAATTAAGTTAAAATATTAATTTAGTAAATTATTTATATTAATAACTATTAGTATTGTTATTAGGCTGTTAGTAGTATTTGGACTTTTAGGTTTATTATCTATTAAGAGTATTATATAATCCAGTCTCATAGAGACATTTGGAATCAATCAAAATGAAATGAAGTTTATTTTCCCTTTTATTTTTATAAATTATTTTAGTGTTCTTCCCCTTTTCTAGTAGAAACCCTACTTTTATAGTTTTGATAAGAATTGCTTCGTAACAATTGGTGTTTTCATCCATGTACTCAAATCCTCATATGGATTATCCTTTTCACACACCTTGATATCATCCATAGAGCATTCATCGTACCTATCCTACAAACCCCTCTTTTCCAACTCCTACCACACCTTCATTTCTATCTTTTTCATGGGAACTTTTTACACCTTATTATTCCAACGCCCATGTTGCATCTTCATCACCAACTTTGTACTTAAATCATGGATATTCACCACATACATCTAATCCTAACCCGTATTCATCCTATTCAACATAGAAGAGATTGTGAGAAGTATTTGCAAGTGTCTCATCCTTATTTTAAGAAAAAACCAAAAAAAACTCTCAAAAAACAATTAGATTCATAACCCCTCTCTCCATCTACCGAAAACTCTATCTCAGTTTTAAGAAAAACTCACAAAAAAATTCAGAAAAACCTTCTGATTCACCCTTTTCTCTCAACACTCCAATGCCGACCCAATTGGTAGCACCAACCTCATCACAAATATAAAGGGTTTATCAAATCTCCAACAAACTAGAATCTCACAAAAACACTCTCACCAAATGCACCAACTCCGATCAAGAGAAGTAATTATCGTAGAAAATCGTCATAATTCTCGACGAAGTTCGAACCTCATACGCCAAACACAACCATAAACTCAAGGAACTATCTCTCCTCTGGTCCAAATCCACTTCACCATCTCACTTCTTCTCCATGTTTTCCAAACCCCTAATTTCTCTCTTCAAGTTTCATGGACGAATCGCCTCTATTGACCGTATTGTTTCCTTTGTTGCCTCTTTCACTACTGCTCATAATCCTTCCGGTGCTGCAGATTGCGACGAGTTCCTCAACCATTTCCTTCATTTCCTCCTTGTTGTTGCGACGACCGCAGATAAGACTGTTAGATTCAAAGCCTACCAGATTTTCTTTGAGATAATATTATGGTTGCCAAATGATGCAGAAGTGAGCAGTGATCTATGGGATGAGGTGATAGAGGGAATGAAGGTTAGGGTACGAGACAAGATCCATTTGGTGCGTACTTTTGCGGTTAGGGCACTTTCATGTTTCATGAATGACTCTTCGAGTTTTGACATTCTTGATTTATTCCTTGAGACACTTCCTTTCGAGAAAAATACAGATGTTTGTAAGATGATTGTGTTGTCTTCCAGTGAAACCTCTCAAGTTATTATTGATTGTACTATGGATGTGAGTGAATTTGTTTACAAAGCAGCATACTGTGTTCTAGCTAATAAATTTTCTCTTCAAACTTTAAGCATTAACACATGATAATAATTCTTCTGAGAGGACTTGCTGACCAATCTGTTGGTGTCTCGAAGGAATGTTTCAAACTATTGAAAAAAAAATGGCTTATAAAATGCTGTAATGGTGATCCTTTACAACTTTTGAAGTATGTTGAAACTTATGAGTCAGTGAGCGAGTTTGTCATGGAAGCACTTCTAAAAGCTGGTTTAGTAAAACTAAAGAATGGTGCAAGTATCCAGCAATATATATCATCAAATAGTAACTCAGAAGAAGGGGGAGTAGTTAGTTGTGCTACAAGAATTTTATTGATGGAAGAAGAGGCTGTCCTTTATTGGAGAATTGTTTGAAAGCATTTGCAGTTAGAAGCACATGCCTTAGGTTCTGATGTTGCAGCCACAACGGGTACCGAAGTAGCAGCATATGATGCAGAAGCATTAGATAAAAATGATATTCTAAAAGAAATTCACGCTACAGTTGATGATTACATAGAGTTGGTCAGAGTTTTAATATCGTTGCTGGATCGAACCATCATTTTACATGTTGGAGGATGCTTTTGCTTGGGGCTATGTTTGAATTTTCTGACACTTCATATAGAAAAGTTGCTAGTGCGTTTCTGCAAGAGTTGATGAGCAAGCCCCTTGAGCATGAGGTTGATAATGAAGGGAATATTGTATTCATTGGAGATGGTTTATGTTTTGGTGGAGATTCTCATTGGGCATAAGCCATAGCCTAATTGGCAAGGAAAGTCCATGCTGCTCCTGATGAATTTGAAGAAGTTGTTCTTGCAATCATAGAAAAGCTAGCTCAACCTTGCAAAGAGAGAACAACATATTATGTGCAGTGGATACACACCCTTTCCCTTATTGGTATTTTATTGAAAAATCTTGTGTCCATGCGCTTACTTCAGGGAAAGGCTATAGAACCAGATGAACTTCTTCAATCTTTACTACTTCCCGGGGAAAAATAAGCTCTTGCGAATGCGCAAAGGATTGCGGTAATATGTCTTGTCCTTTTTGGGCTTTTGGAGAGGAAACCAAGTGCTGAACTTTTGAAATAGATAAGGGTTTCATACATTAAGGGTCCACATATAGTTAGTATAGAGGCTTCTAAAGAATTAGTTGATCTTGTGATGTGGCACAGTCCTCAAGAAGTTGACAGGGTTTTAAATCATGAAGTTCCAAGCCAATTAAACTGTGATAACATGTATTTTTGTCATGTGAACTTCTCTGATTTCGAAGGGGATTCCAACTCAAATGTTGACATACTTGATCTGTTATATGGTGGCTTTGAAAATGAAGGTTGGGTTAATCCTTTAACTAGCAATGAAGATGAATGCATTTATGCTATACTTGGAGAGGGTTTTGCGAAAGTTCTTCTCCTAAGTGACAATAGGTTATTCAAGCAATGGGATCCGGAAAAAATATCTTTATTCTCGTATTGATTTTAGAACCTTGAGGACAAGGTTCAAGTGAAAACCCGGTGACAATGATAGAGAGTGAATTATGAGTTAGCTTAATTTAGAATATTAATTTAGTAAGTCATTTATATTATTAGCTATTAGTATTGTTATTGGGCTCTTAGTAGTATTTGGGGTTTTAGGATTATTATCCATTAAGAGTATTATATAATGTAGTCTCATAGAGATATTTGTAATCAGTCAAAATGAAATGAAGTTTATTTTCCCTTTTATTTTATTAAATCATTTTAATGTTCTTCCCCTTTTCTAATAGAAACCCTAGTTTATAGCTTTGATAGGAATTGCTTCGTATCATACAACAAATAATCCCAAGAGGCTAAATCGAATGCCTTCTCGATGTCCAATTTAAAGGGGAAAATGTTTCTTATTCCTACGAGCATAATCCACCACCTTATTGACTACAAGGACACCATCCAATTGACTACAAGGACACCATCCAAAATGCTTATGTTTAGAATAAACGTGGATTGATTTATTGAGAAAAGGTTACCAATGTTTTTTTTCAATCTTCTAGCTAGGAGTTTGGAGATAATCTTGTAAACACTAGTGATAAGACTGGACCGAAAATCATTGATATTTTAGGGATTATGAGACATAGGTATTAATGAAATAAATTTGTCTGAGCATGTCTTAGAAAGATGAGCTTAGGATAAGAATTTGTTGATGCATCCATGAAGATTGTGGAAAATTATCTTTCAACTTGATTTATAAAAGGACATTCACTACAACAAAAAATACCTTTCTCCTCAGTTGAAAAAAGGTCTTATCTCGGTTCCATGAACAAGGTAATGAATAGCGTCATGAAGAGTATGTCACATTACCTCTCAGTTTTAAAAAACCGACTGGTAATATGTAAACGTCATGGATTTGATCCACATGGAAATCCTTTTTGAAATTATTAATTGGTGAAAACACCTTTTCCCTTGGTTTTTCTATTCCACTGATGAGTATCACATTTCACCTTAGTTTTGATATTAAACTGACGGGTAAAACACGATTGAAGTTATTAAATCTAATGCGGGTTGTTTATTTTACTAAACTCTAATTGAACATATAACTTCTAAAATTGGTTAGGAAAATAATTTTATGAGTAATTGTGTTATATTTGAAAAACAACTTACACTAATAAGTTATTTATGAGCCTTCTATAACTCATCATTCATCTCACGCTCTTTTATGGTTAAAATCTATTCAATGTTTCAAATTCTTTATTTAACACATTCTTTTCTACTAATTTGTTCTTGAAGGCATAAAATTTGATGCTTTGAAAACTGAATAAATATAAGAAAGTTTAATGATAGCTAGAAGTATTGGAGAGATTTTAACAATAAAAAACATGAGATAAATGATGAGTTACAGAATGTTAGATAATCATTAATCAGTGTAAGATAAGTTTCAGATACAACATAATTTTTTTATGATTATTTTCAAAATAAATTTAATAGGTTATATGTTCAAAGAGGAGTTGATGAAATAAACAATCGATATTAGATATAATAAACTCAACTCAATGGAACAAGATGAGAGTTGCACAAAGAATCACGAAAAACATAATCTCAATATCAATATAAATCTCAAACTCAAACTCAAACTCAATAACAAAAATTAAACTACAACATATAGATTTTCATAACTTTCTGTAGTAGAACAATTAAACAACAACAATGATATCAAAAACTTAAAAACAACAACTTACATTAAACAACAACTAAAAAAACAATCTATCAACAAAACGGCAACAACATCATCAATAAACCCGTAATATAAATCTTTGTAAACAACAACAAAAACAAGATTAAACCTCTAAAATTTAGGATTTCAACAACTAGTCTCAACAACAACAAAACCTATAACATAAATCTATTTGAATAACAACAACAAGATAAATATGTAGTGGAAGAGCATATGATGTGACCTATGTTAATGAATTATTTACTTCATGGTGCATATAATAGTATCATTCATTAAAGAGTAACGTTTATAATCAATGAATAAGAAAGTTATTTACCAATACATTTATTATGAGTTTATTTATCATTAATGAGTTCAAAAAATTTATATAATCATCTCAATACATTAATTATTTTTTATATCAATAATTAAATTAAAGAATAAATGTTCTAAAAGTTCAAATGAAATTTTAAATTTTTGTTTTTTGTAATTTTATATACATTGATGATTTTAAAATTTGTACCAATACAATGATTTTTGAAATAAAAACATTGTCCTTTTGCCCATTTCTCAAACAGAAATATTATACAAAAATATTTATTATTTATACCATTTACAAAGCTAGAATGACACACACGTTATAATTTTACAACAAATTAAAACTACAACAAATTATTGATCAACAAAAGCTATAACCAAAATGCAAAGTGTTGTAGGTCATCCTAAAGTTCCCTTTTGTGATTTGTCGTCGGTCGTTAAGAACCTATAATTTGAACAACATTTGAAACCAATTAGGATCATTATCAACAACATTAAATCTTAAATAAAAAGAATATAAAAAGAAAAATGAATATATATATATATATATATATATATATATATATATATATATATATATATATATATATATATATATATATATATATATATATATATATATATATATATATATATATATATATATATATATATATATATATATATATATATATATATATATATATATATATATATATATATATATATATATATATATATATATATATATTACTAAGTGATATAAAACATCTACTTACTATTTTTCCATATCCCCTCTTGATGATCATGACGAATAACATGCACATTATCTGAACTATTTTCTTTATATGAAAGATGTACATGTGTTGCAAAATAAGGGGTATCAAAATTTAAATTTTGATTTTCATCACTATCAGAAATATATTTTCCTTATAGAACAATTGATCATCTTGTGTTAGAAGGATCAATGACATAAGAAATTCATTTTTCTCGGGATGTCATGATGAATGGTTCATTTATATAAGTTATATTTCGAAGATCAAGCCGTGTGAATCTTAATTCATCGATTTCAACACCAGTGTTAATGTCAATCCACTTGCACTTATATATATATATATAAATTTTAAAAGTAACACAATCAATCTTCAAAATCTCCTCAATGACCCAAAGTACACTGTAAATGCTAGTACATGATTGTTATTGAAGGGTGAAAAGACACAAGAAATTGGGGGTTTGAATGGGTTTTCTAATAAGCTAATTTATGAAAAATAATTGGCAAACAAACTAGAAGGAATATAGTTAAGGAAATACTATAAAAGACACTATGGTTTATCCAGGTTCATCTCAAACTAGGTTATTCTTGTCCACCCTCCTCAGGTGATTTCGCCATCAACAAGGATTTAATCCACTATAACCAAACTGATTACATATGTACAAGCTACCCTCCGGTGACTAACCACAACCGTCTAAGAGTCTACCTGACACCTTAGCCCTCTCAAGTCTCAGACTAACAACCTAGTCACTTGAGGTAATAATCAATTCTTAACAAAATTACAATCAACTGCGTTTACAATGTTTGCTTCTAAATAAGAAGATTAACACAACTTTGAAGAACAAAGTCTCTAATACAAATAATGAGCAAAAACTCTTTGTATTGAGAACTCTAATATTAACACATAAATAATGAGCAATAACTCTTTATGTTTAACCTTTTAATATCTTAACACAATAATGAGAAACAACTCTTGTATTCTTGATACTTCTCTAGAAGAATATTTATAGATGTATATGAATAATGATTCTTCTTCTTTTCTCTTGGTGTTTCACAGTATTTCAACAATTTGATTCAAGAGTGATAATAGTTGATATATCATAAATCTTCAAATTCCGATGAGGTCTCTTTATATAGATTTGAGAATAAGATTGTTGGTGGTACGAAGATGTCTCTTTCCTTTGCTAGTTATAGTAACAATAGTATTTCATCATGGGAGACAACATAATATAATATGTAAGAAAGTAGTGGAATATTTTAAATGTATTGACTGTACTATAAACATCGTGGCTAAGTATCTTAAGTTTTTCACTTCTGTTGATTTACTTCTGCTTGAAGTAGTAAGCTTGGAAGATAACTCTTGATCTTGTCTTTTTCTTCTTTTATTCTTGCATGATTATTTCTGATTGAGGAGCGATAATGATCCAAAAGATTCTTCATTTTTGTATTGCCAGAGTATTTCAGATAGTTGAATATTGTCTTCAGATATATAAGCAACATCTTATCTGATGAACAGTGTCTTCTTTGAGAGTGAAAGCTTTTTTTATCTTGATTTCTTGGTCTTGTCTTGATTTCTTGATAATCAACTTTTCTAAGTTGCATATCTGATGTTTGATGGTATTTATCTTTTGACGAATATTTCTTCTATTGAGTAGATTGGCTTGAGAAGATATCATATTTTGATCTTGTCTTCTGCTTGACTTTGAGATGTTGATTAGATATTAGTCCATAAGATCTTTCTTACTTTGCATCCTTTGTTCTGATGGAATACTTTTGATGTTGAATGAACATGCATATTTCATGAACTCTCCGAGTCTTTAGAATCTTGACTTTGTCTTCAGAAATCTGAGCAACAACTCTTTTGATGAGAAAATCTTGACTTCTGATCTTGGAGTAGAATATTTCTTCACGTGTGTTTAGAATCTTGACTTTGTCTTTAGAATCCAAGCATTAACTTTTCTAATGAACAAATCTTGACTTCTGATCTTCTGCATTGGAAGCTTGTTTCTTATGCAGTCTTGATTTCTGATCTTGAAGCAGTAGCTTATCAGAATCTCTTTATTCTCGGAAACTCATTGAGATTCTTTTCTTGTTGAACATTCAGCATTCCATAGAACTACTAATGTTACATTAGAAACATAACTCAATGGTTCTTCTTCTGAGTGATAAAGTGATTATGATGATATCTTGATTAAGGCTATCCAGAATTCTATTAATTTATCTG